AATTCTAATTATAGCCAGCCCTTTCAACACTTGGACGGCGCACAAGCTATTTACAGAAAACAACCAGCGCGTAGTTAACTTGATGTCATATTCGTCAAATGGACTTAAAAAATGATTTCCAAAGCTCTTAATAAACAAAAAAACTCTCAATTTCACAGTAGCTGATGGTTCCAATGTAGAAAAAAAAGCTCCCTGACATATGACACACTGGAGATTTTGTTTTTGCTCTATTTGAAAGTAGATTTAAATGTGCAATCATAAGGAAAAAAAACTTATTCCGCTTTTAGAAACCACAAGTTATTTAAGGAGCTTGACTTGTTTTTGATCGAAAATTGACATTGACAAATTGTAAGTATCCGATATGCCTATTTCCTTTTTTATAAACTGACCAATAAAATGGAAAGCAAAAAAAGGCAATGGCGTCCCAAAAAGCTAATTTTGAAAAAGGTGTGGTCTCCACATGCTAAAGCTTAGCTTCAGCCCAATTTCTAGATAGCCGCTTTGAAAACTAAAACTTTGCGCTCACTCTTAACAAGTTTTAGCTCCCTCTTTCTCGACAAATAAAAAATTACAAAGAGATTTGGGTTAAATAAAAAAGCCAAGAAAATAACTGAAATTCTGCTATTCCTAGGAGTGATTAAAAATAACTGTCAGAAATCTTCAGCCCTCACTATGGTCAATTAGATGAAAGACACTTTTTAAGAAAACAAACAGAAGAGGTCATAAGATAAAAGCAGACAAAATCACATTACGTATGCAATAAGAAAACTAGTATAGTACCCACCGCTTCAAAGCTTGAGCGTCACTAGCAGTTTCATAATTGCCGAGGAAAAGGTGAGGTAGTATTTGGACAGGAAAAACTTGGCGTTTGTCTGTGGATGGAGGAACACCAGGTTCAATCCGAAGAGCACTGCAATTTCAAGATACAGCTTTCTTCAAAGAAAAAAAAAACAGAAAAAACAATTTGAGATACGCTATTCCCAAAAAACTATGGAGGAAACTGTAAACGTCAAAATTTATGAGCATTCAACGCAGCAGCCTGCCTAAAAAACTAAGATTGTTACGCACTTGAGATTTAAGCACACCATATCTCCAGATGTCCGAGATGGTTGCCGTTCCTCATCCACCCGCAATGATGGAAAAGCAGAAAGAACTTCCTCGACAGGGTCTATAAGAAGGTATTTTTGAGAAAATTTTAACGAAAAGACTAAAAATTAATGTCTTACCTGCAAGAATTTGGTGCTGAACATTTGCTTTCCGCAAAGCATTTGCCAATGCGCCAGAAGTTGTACCGTCGGATCCGTCCGGAATAATGACAACTCTAACGTCTGGATCATTGAGGCGAGGTGAGATAGTGGACAAAGACAGGGAGCAATTCACCAGACGGCGAAACAAAACATTTGGAAGCCGCA